TGCTGGGTTAGAAGTAAGTGGTCTTTTCTGCAGCAAAGCAATGAGATGTCCTCAGAATTACAGAATTGCATATTTATCCCTAAGACACAGATTGAGGAGTGATGGTTGTTGCAGTCAGGTATGAAACTTCATTTCATGTCTTTTCAGAATGAACCAGGAAGTAGTCTGTCAGGTGAGCCGTTCTTTCATTTACAACTGCCCCATTTTAGAAGCTGATTCTTTAGTTAAGTAATGTCTAGCCTTGCAGCTCCTCTGAAGGCCACTGTTGCATTTGAGAGGGAAGTTTGTGTGAGTTGTGTGTCAGAGCAGAGGCTTCCGCTGAAGAAAAGGAGGATGTCCTTTCATTCTGGTCCTCAGCAGCCCATTCAGGTCTGCCACTAGCCGTGCTAATGTTTCTCCCTTATGGAAAAGTTGCCACCTCCTTCAGGAACTAATTCCAGTGCTGCTAATTACACACTGTTACCAAGAGGTGTTCGTGGAAGCATGTGTTGTTGACATGCAGTTCACTGGTCCAGTCTTACTCAAGAATGTAGATGAGGATTCTGTCAGAAGATAATGGTACTGGTGAGATGCTGCTGCTTCCAAAATAAGAGTCCTGGGAATGGCGCTTCATCTTCCTCTCTTCCCGCTCAGGGTTAGAGTGTGGCTCACAGTTCACTGTAAACCACTGGTAACATTTGTGCTCGTCTAAAAAGATGTACATACTGCCTTAGTTAAAGCTTCTAGTGCTGCAATCAAACACCATGACCAAAAGGCAACTTAGGAGCAAAGACTTTATTTGGCTTACATTTCCACATCATTTCATCATCAAAGAAAGTCAAGACAGGAACTCAAAGAGGATGGGAACTTGGAGGAAGGAGCTGATGCAGAGTCCATAGAGTCCTGCTTACTGGTGTGTTCCTCATGGCTTGCTCAGCCTGCTTTCTTTACCAGAGCCCAGGACCACCAATCACCAGCCCGTGGATCACACCACCCACAATGGGCCGGGTCCATCCCCATTAATTAAGCACTGTAGCCCAATTTCATTGAGGTGTTCTCTCTCTCTCTCTCTCTCTGTGTATGTGTGTCCGTCCCTCCTGTCCTCTCAGTTGCCCCTCCTCGTCCATTTGTCTTTAGGAAAGGACAGACCTCCCATGGATGTCAACCAGCCATAGTATATCAAGTTGCGATATGACTAGGCACATCCTTTTTTTTTTTTTTTTTTTAAGATTGATTGAGGCAACCTGGTAGGAGGAAAGGGTCCCTAAATCAGGCAACTACTGCTAGGGGCCCCACAAGAAAACCAAGCTATGCAGCTGAAACATACATGCAGAGGATCTTGGTCAGGCCCGAGCAGGTTCCTGGTTGTCAGTCAGTTCAGTCTCTGTGAGCACCTATGAGCCCAGGTTATTTGCTTCTGTGGGTTTTCTTGTGTCCTTGACCCCTCTGACTCCTACAGTTCTTCCTCCCCATCTTACACAGGATTTCCCAAGTCCATCTGATGTTTGGCTGTGGGTCTCTGCATCTGTTTCCATCAGTTGTTTGGTGAAGCCTCTCTAATGACTGTTGCTCTAGGCACCAATCTATGATTATAGCAAATATCATTAGGAGTCATTTCATTGTCTTGGTTGTGTTTGGTTCTATCCTAGGTCTCTAGGTTGAAGGCATTTCCTTAATTGAGGTTCCCTCCTCTCAGATGACTTTAGCTTGTGTCATGTTGATGTAAAATTACCCAGCACAAATATGAATTACTAAAATCACATTGTTGATTTTAAAAAATGGAGCTAGAGAAATGGCTCAGCCATTAAGAGTGCTTCCTACTCTAGCAGACACCCCGAGTTTAGTTCCCAGCACCTAGGTCAAGTGACCTACCATGTCATCTGTAATGCCATCTCCAAGGGATCTGACTCTTGGTCTCTGTGGGCAGGCATCAGCACTGATGGACATATACCTACACACAGGATGCATAATTTGAAAAATATAATAAAACAAATTTTAAGAAGAAACTGCCTAATACTTTATATTTCTGCTGAAAAGTGATTGAAATGCAGAGATAGCGTTAACTAGCTGTCTGCGGATAAATCGCGGCATTACCTTACAGAGTCTCATGCGAACTCTTACCTGAAGACACAGTAGGAAGAAAATGGGAGTACATGAACATTGGGTTTAATTTAAAGAAGAAAAGAAAAAGTCAAGATTTTGATTGATAGAAATATTTGGCCAAAAGCCAGTGAGTTTTGCAGAAATTAATGTACAGTTAGTCTCTGATCATTCTTCACAGAACCTGGTGACATCTTGGGGTACAGACTTGCCCTTGAAGGGTATTGTAGAGACTGGCCCGTACCAGAATGGCGTATAGAGTGCCGTGAGTGAAGGCTGTGGTTAGCATAAGATCCATTCAGTGTCGACAGATAACCCTGAAGCCCTCATGAGGCAAGAGTACCGTTGTGTACTAGACAAACGCTGGCCATTGGAGCCTGAACAAAGCCAGTCTGTACTGGCAGGAAGCAGGCCTGTGGTGCCAAGACAGGAGCACGCGTTTCTCCTTGGACATGCTGTCGTGCAAGGGCTTTTGACACTTCCGGGAGAATCTAGCAGGTGGGCAGTTTGATATGTGATTCCAAGGCCTAGGAGAGAGACTTAGCAAGGGGTTGACTATAGCTCTGAGGTCTTTTGGGCTATTGCCATGATTGTAGTCTCTAAGAGAAAAGACTTAGGCCTAACCTTGAACAGTAAGACAAGGACGAGCTTGGAAGGGGCTGTTGTGCTGGGGAGGAAGCCCTGGCACCGGGTGGCCTCAGCTGCGCTCCTTCCTGTCTAGTACTGTGGCCAGAGACTGAGTCCTCCACACCCACATTCACTATTGCCTGTCTTGTTCTGCCGAAGGCCTTTCCTCACATAAGCCTTTCTCATTGGAAGTGTGAGGTGTGAGGAAGAACTCGGAATGGAGATTTTTGTTTTTCAAATCTGATGTCATGTTGCATTAGTGTTCTTCAGTTATCTGTGGCATGCTTGTTCCATAACGGTTGCTTTCTCAGTCATTGCCGACAGCTAGACTGGTGGTGTGGGCTTCATCCTCCTCAGTCGTCTCAGCAGTGGACTGTCTCCTGTGGGAGCCATGGTTGGAATGAACTCATAGTGGACTCTTGGGGCTGGTGTTGTGTTCTCTCTTGCTTTGGGGTGGATCTTGAATGGCAGTCACTCATTAAATTGCCAGTCCTTTATTTTAAAGACTTACATGTCTACTCTCTAGCTGCTCTCTCTCTGTTCACTCTCTAAAATAGAAACTGAGCTCACTGCATGCAGAGGCCTGTCCTGCCCTTTGCAGACACTTTGCTGAGCTTAACGCACAACAGCAGGTCGTGGGGAGACGCATGCTGATGCACAAAGCTCCCATCCTTCAGATTTCAACTCAGGCTGCCAGAACAAAGTTCTGTAAATGGGTTGGCGGAAACAGACATCAACTTCTCGCATTTCTGGAATATGAGAAGGTCAAGATAAAGGTGTCAGCCAGTTTGGTTACTGGTGAGGACTTCTTTCACCTTGCAGATGGCTGGCCCTGGGTACTCACATCTCTTTGAAGCTTGGAGGTAGAGAGGGAGAAACTACAACTTGTAGTTCCTCCTAGAAGGGTACCAATCCCTAATCCCACCTTGATGGTCCCATTCTTGTGACATTATCTAGATCTAACCCCTCTGCAGGCTTCAGATAGCCCTGGTTTGACAATTTTGTGACTTGATCAGGTTGCATGGTGTCTCCTAAGCTACTTGTGTCTGAAATACAGATGGTGATTGAGATGCTTCATACAGTGAGACATGGATGTTGAGCACAAAATACAACACTCTAGAGACTGTCACAGAGCCGGTGGTAGAGCTCATCATGCTTCTTGAGACCCAAGGGTCTTCTTGCGATGTCTAGCTGGTGACACACTTACCTGTGTGGGGTGGCCCATGGTGCTCTCAGTGGGAGCTGACACCCTGCCTACATTCATTGTGGGATCAGAGAGAACACCTCGGGAGTAGCCCTGAGCGTACTGAGGTGTCAGGCTCCTCTGAGGTCCATTCCAACGTGAACCCTAAGTTCCTGTTGCTGTGATGACGCGGTTAGCTTCATGCTTAGCTCCAGAGTAAGCATTAGTTGGATACGTTAGTGCCATGCCTGTGCCACTGCATTATTAACTCATTGATGTTACTGTCATGTGCAAAGAATTCTAATCATGCTAATTAAAAACTTTTCTAGGAAAAAGTATGCTTGTATGGGAATATATTAATGAAACCCATTATTTTATAAGCCATCTAAAATTTTAATTAAAAAGTTATTTTAGGAGCATGCTTACATGCTTACACAACCAAATGTATTAATGAATTCCTGCTGAATTTTTATTTTTCAAAATAAATGATTAGCTTTTCTTAATCCCTTTCTTTTAGCCAGAAGACAAAAGAAACAAAAACAGTAAAGCAAGTTTTTCTGGTATTTGAAAATGTCTGAATAGCATAATCTAGTCATTATGATGCCAGTAACATTATGTATCCAAAATTCTGATGGTTGTCAACTTGGCAAAAAAAAAAAAAAAAGGTTAGACTCACCTGGGAAGTGGCCTCTGGGCATGCATGCTGCTGAGGGTTATCTTGATTACATTAGTTGAGTGGGAAGATCACTCACTCTGGGTTGCAGCACTCACTCTCGGTTGCGATCCTGGGCTGTATAAAGGGGACAGTGAGCTGAGCATGCATATGTGCCCTCACTCTTCTCTGACCCTGAATGTGGGACTGTGGGCAGCACCTAAAGCTCCTCCTGCCTCTGTGGTTTCCTCGTTATGGGGACTGTTGCCTGGGACTAAGAGCCAAAACAGACCATTTGATGTTGCCTCTGTAGGGTGTTTTATCACAGCAACAGAAAGGAAACTGAGACATTGTGCTCTCATCTTCAGTTCTCAGTGGTTTGTGTGTTCTGTGTTACTAAAACAAATTGCGACTGAGGTTTACTGCTGCTTGTTCACGGGCCCTGGTCTTTGGTTGCAGGTGTTGTTTGGCACAGCAGATGGACAGGTGATCGTCATGGACTGCCATGGCAGAATGCTGGCCCATGTCCTCTTGCATGAATCCGATGGCATCCTCAGCATGTCCTGGAATTACCCCATCTTCCTGGTGGAGGACAGCAGTGAGAGTGACACAGACTCAGATGACTACTCTCCTCCCCAAGGTAACCAGTGTGCTGTCCCTCACTTCTACTGCATTTCCAGAGAGAACTTCTTTAAAGACAATGACACCACTTAGTGAAGGTTCACTGTGCGCGCGCGCACACACACACACACACACAGACACACAGACACAGACACACACAGACACAGACACACACACAGACACACACACACACACACACACACACGCACGCACGCACACACTTCTCCTAACTTACTGGAGAGAGCTCTTAGGCTGAAATGAAGCAGAACTGGCCTGCGCTTTCTCTTGTTGATGTGAGCCTTCCCTGCTGCCCTTTTCTCAAGATCACTGCTGGAGCTGATTGCACTCCAGAGGCTTAGGGTTTCCTAGACATAAAATGAGACATATGTCTCCTGCTGTCCCTAGGGTTTTGTGGGACTTGGCTGTTTAATGGGAATAAAGATCACTGCAGATGAAAAATTCTGTATTATTAATATAATTTAATATGTGGTATAGCCAAATCCCTAGCAGTTTCAAAGCCAGTAGCTTAGCTTCAGTTGTCTAAAAGAAAGATTCATTCTGCTGTTCCAGAGACCAGCAGCAGGAGCTGGTCCTTCATGTCCTTGTTTGTGCTCTGTCCCCTTTCTCAGTCGCAAGACCATTGCTGCTCTGCAGGCTTTATTGGTGTTAGATACTTGGAGTGATGATGACTTGAGACTCAGGCCTCCCCTACCTCTGCTAGTGCGTTTGTTTTTCAGATGGGGAAGAGACCAAAGGGAAGAAACTAAAGTTGAAGGGAGCCTTGACTACCCTGCTGGCCTCTGCCTGCACTGCCTTGTTTCCTTTCTTTCTTTTAGAACATGCATTATGGAATGGTGGGAAGGAACGGCTCCTGGTTTAAAAGGGTGTCATGCAACTCCTGGCCCTGTCCTCTGTTGATTTTATTGTGCACCCTGGAGTTGAAGCCACGCATTGAATAGTTTCTCTTCTTTCCTGCCATCGTGAGGCATCCCATCCTGTGAAGGGCTTGACCACTATCAGCCATGTCTACCTGGCACCTGTCTCCCCCTCCTGTCACATGTGGAAAGCAAGTTACCAGAAGGGTGGCAGAAGGGAGAGTGTTCGTTACCCACAGTTAACCCTTTCCTGATGGGACACGGCCTTGATAAAATGTTGGTCACATTTCTGTAGCCTCAGAGTAGCCAATTTCTATGAAATGCTTGTCTTTAAATAAATGGGATCCAGACTCACTCCTCCTTATTTTACTATAGTAAGTGGGGTACGAAGACCAAGGTTACAGAGCAGGTCTAAAGTTCATCTGAGGCAGCAGGCGATTGCTGACATCTACCCAGAGCTGCACTTCTCAGAAGCAACGAGCTGCTCTAGGACTCACACACACTTGCCTTTAGATGTAGCGGTATTGAGTGCAGAGGTATTTGACAAGGGATGTGATCCAGGGTTACCCAGCAGGTGAGTGTCCAGTAGGCCACCCCGACTGGCTGTTGGAGATGAGTTCAGAGTGACTGTGGCACCTACAGGAGCTTCTGAGGGCTCTCACCATCCAGCTGTTCAGAGAGGCTGTTTCTTAATTTTTATTTTTTATTTTTGGCCAGGCAATAGTGGTGCACAACTTTAATCCCAACATTTAGGAGGCAGAGGCAGGCAGATCGCTGTGAATTTGGGGCTAGCCTGGTCTACAGAGTGAGTTTCAAGACAGCTAGTGTTATACAGAGAAACTCTGTCTCACCACCCCCTGGGGGGGAAACAGCTTTTAAGAATTCATTTTACATGTATGGATATTCTTACTGCATCTGTGTCTGTGTACCGCATGCCTGCAGTGCCTGCAGAAGCCAGAAGAGGGCAGTAGATTCTGGGTACTGAAGTTACAAGAATGGTTGTAAGCCACTATGTGTGTGCTGGGGATCAAACCCAGGGCCTCTGGAAGAGCAGAGAGTGCTCTTAATTGCTGAGCCATCTCTGCAGCCTTTTGCTTCCTTATGTAATGTGTAGGTGAGGCAGTTGGCCATGTACTTCACACATGATAAAGTACTTTATGAGTCACAGTGGGCCCTGCCCTCTCTGAACACTTAAGGAACGAATACTGGCTGCCTTGGATGCTTATTGCCTGTAGCATTCAGTGAAGCTTTTTGCTCTGTGCTTTGGACCACAATTAAGAAAACATTGTTGTCCCCTTTCCCACCATTCATTATGTTATACACCATTTAAATAATTTACACTTAATATCTGAAGAAACACATAATGCTCTAACATACAGCCTGGGATCTATATTGTTAGACAACTTTTAGGCATTGTGGTTTGAGTGAGGGTGACCCCATAGACTCACATGTTTGAACACTTGGTCCCCAGATGATGAACTATTTGGGAAGGATTAAGAGACATGTCACTTGGAGAGGTATGCCTTGGAGAAGTGTGTGACTGGGTATGGAATTTGGGGCTCCAAAAAACCATTCCATCCCCATTTAGCTCTCTCTGCTTCTTACTTACACATAAGGATGCAAGTCCTCGGTTACTGTTCCAATACCATGCCTGCCTGCCTGCTGACTCTGACCCCTTGCAGCCATGAGCCCCAAATTAAATGTTTTCTTTTGTAAGTTGCCTTAGTCATGATGTTTTGTCACTAAGGCAGGCACTGCAGCAGTGCAGCTCTAGACACCTGGATGGGGTTTTGTGCTCCTTGTCTGCCCTCCATTGTGCCTGTGTTTCCACAGATGGTCCTGCGGCGTACCCCATCCCTGTGCAGAACATCAAGCCCCTGCTCACTGTCAGCTTCACCTCGGGAGACATCAGCTTAATGAACAACTACGATGACTTGTCCCCCACTGTCATCCGTTCAGGGCTGAAAGGTACAAAATCCACCTATCCCAACAGGCGGGAGCTGTGTACACCTGACGTGGGCGCTCTGCTAAGCTCCCTGCTTACCTTACCAAGTCTGTAGCTGCCCTTGGATCTGGCGTCCCAGTGCTCAGTCTTCATCTTCACCTCCTTTGTCTGCTTCCACAGGGTGGCCTGTTGTTGATGATGTTTACATCTGACTGTCGCTTTACTCAGGTGGCAGCATCTGTCACTTGTGAGGCAGCAGATGGCACACAGGCTTCCTTTACACAGAAGCACTTAGGATTTTGGCAGGCTGACTAAGGAGTTGATCATTATGCAGTAGGGTGGGTTACCTTGAAAGACCTGTGGAGGTTCCAGACTGTCATGTACATGAGGGCCAATGATAAGTGCTGGTACCTTCCTGTGAGGAAATGTTTTCTCAGGAGAAAAATTAGTGCTCAGAGCTACTGGGGTTGTTCTGATGGTGCAATTCAAGATCACTTACACATAGTGACCTTGGGTTTTTTGAAAAAAAGAAAATCTTGCATGTTTTGAGATCACTGGGACAAAATAGAAAAAAAATTTAAATGCTAATCCTGGTCTGGTTCTGGTCCTAGATGGCATAGGAACCTATTATGGTCTGAGTGGGGAGACAGCTGGTTACTGTCTTAAGCTGGCCATCATCAAGAGTCATTGCTATGACAGCAGCTGCTACTTCTCTAGGTACTTCCGGAACCTCGAGGATATAATGAGTCATGTCTATACACATCACACTTGGCAGCAGTATATTGCACTTAACTGTACCACCCACACAGTTACTATTTTAAAGGAAATTGTACTTGTTCTTAGGTGTCTGTTTCATTTTGCTGTTTCAGAACTGCACTTGTAAGGAATTATTTACTCTTCCAGCTCCCCTAGAACAGAAACTCTTCATACCACAGATAGATAATCCCTTTAGGAGTTAAGTAACTCTTTCTGTTGCTGGCAAACTTGAATTCTTGTGATGCACTGTTAATTATTTTCTGAATGTTCTGTCTTCCATGAATTTAAAAATAGGGGCTGACCCTTATAATTCCTCCATGTACCTCCTAACCTGAAGTTCTATTTTTCTTCAAAAAACATTTTTTAAACTTTTTAACCACATTTGCTTTTTTCTTGATCTGCCTCTAGCTGTAGAATCCTGAATTTTGTTCTCTATCAATTATCTTATTACAGTTCGAAGCAATGTAATTTTCATTCCATTCCTATTTATTCTTCATAGAGCTCCCTCCTTGCTATGGAAGCTCTTACCTTTTTATTTATCTGTGTGTTATCTACCTGTCCCTCTATCTGCTCCTTGAATAGTTATCAACACCTTGGCTTATCAAATATGCATTATGGTAATAGGAAAACAATAGGTGACCCAAGTTAGTCTTTTTTAAATGTACTTTAAAAAATTTTATTATGTATACAGTGTTCTGTCTGCATGTATGCCTGCAGACCAGAAGAGGGCAATCAGATCTCATTACAGATTGCTGTGAGCAACCATGTGGTTGCTGGGAATTGAACTCAGAACCTCTGGAAGGACAGTCAGTGCTCTTCACATCTGAGCCACCTCTCCAGCCCCTGTAGTGTGTTTTTAAGTTCATTATTTTCTATAAATTTCGCATATAGTCATTATCTATGAGAAATGTAAATCTAGTCTGAGATGTCTGAGTTATTTATGGCCTTGTAGCTGGGGATGGTTATGTACTACTGTGCTGTGCTGTGCTGTCTCTCAGAGTTAGATTCACCCGAGATACTATCATCCACTAGCTACTGTATGAAAGTAAGTTTTTTTCCTGCCTTGGTATCAGAGTGTTTGTTTCTGATCTGATATCAAATGGCTTAGATTCAGTCTTACATATGGTATGAACAGCAACAGTGGTTCTTGGTTTTAGATTTTATTTTTAATTTGTTATTGAGGTTTGAATGTAATTGGCCCCCATAAGCTCATAGGGAGTGGCACTATTAGTAGGTGTGACTTTTTTGAGTAGATGTGGCCTTGATGGAGGAAGTGAGTGTGTCACTGAGGAGGTGGGCTTTGAGGACTCATATGCTCAAGCCATATCTGGTGTCTCAGACCACTTCCTGTTGCCTGTGCATCAAGATTAGGACTCTCAGCTCCTCCTCCAGCACCATGTCTGCCTACATGCCACCATGTCACACCATGATGATAATGGACTAGACCTCTGAAACAGTAAACCACCCCAATGAAATGTTTTCCTTTATAAGGTAGCCATGGTCATGGTGTCTCTTCACAGCAATAGTAACCCTAACTAACACAATTATCTCACGGTCTGTATTAGTAAATAATAGAAAGAAGCAAGCACTAAGTTCAGAGATGCCTAGTCCTTACCTCATGACAATGGTAATGTGAGAAAAATGAGTGGGCAGAGACACTGAGAGTTCAGATCTTGTGGTTCAAGACTACTAAAGATGATGTGACCCTGGTTCTTTGGAAAAAGTCTCGTCCCCTCAGGATCAGATGAAGGCTGAGGGTCTCTGATCCCCTTGGTCTTTGTATAGTATCTCAGAGAACTTTGCCAGGGGAGACGGGGACTCGTGATGTCCTTTATCACCAGTGCTGTAACTCTTGTCACGTGTGGATCTCACAGTTCCACAGCACTCCTGCCTCTATGACCAGCCTCTTCTGCAGCACCTGTCGGGGTTGGCTTTGTGCTGCAGCCTCTGGGGGCTGCAGGTCTGGGTTCTGTCTGCCTTCTCTGCAGCTGCCGAGGAGCTCCTCTTGGGATGAACTTGGCTGAGTAACTCATCTCAGATGCTGCATAGCATATAAGGGGTAGAGATGGGCTTTTGTTGTGGCCTTCCTCCCGCCCTCCCTGCCTTCCTCCCGCCTGCCCTCGCTCCCTTCTCCCCTTCTTTGAGTTACGAGCTCAGGTATTCTGACACAGGCAATGGCAGCACATCCCCAGGTGGTGTAATGGACTTCCAGAGACCCTTCACATTGCTTACCAAATGTATCAGGGAGCAAAAGACAAAAGGTGTCATCGTAGTGTCCCGTTGTGTTCCCACCCAGCCCCCATGCGCATAGTTTTTTTTTTTTCATTTTATGAACAGTCCTCCAGCACCAAGTACTCGTGATGGCTGACCATCTCTCCAGGCCCAGAATTGCCCCTTCTATGAATTCATTGGACTCTCTGAGAATCAAGCCGTTTTTGAGATGGTTGGTGTCACTTAGTGAAAGCTGTGACTTCTGTGGCTTAGCTCATGTGGATTTGTTGTCACTGCCCTCATGTAGTACATGCTCTACTTTTCAGTCCTTACCCTGTTCCCCAGAGGAGAGGGGAGAAGGAGAAGTAACCCTCTTTTTATTTCTGTGCACGCATGCGTGCGTGTGCGTGTGTGTGTGTGTGAGCGCATGCGTGCTTGTATGTGTGTGTGTGTCCATGTAGTATATGAGTATGTCTGGAGGCCAGAGAATAACCTGGGGTGTCATCCTCTGAAATACTGCCTGCTTTCTTTGACATAGGGTTGCTCATTGGGTTTCAACTGTCTCCGCCACCTGCCTAGCAGTGAAGTACCAAGCATGCCCTACTGGGTTATTTCAATTGGATTTGTGGGTCATAGCCCATCAAAGACGGAGGTCAAGGCAGGAACTCCTGCAGCACTCAAAGCAGGAAACTTAGAGGAATGCTATTTGTTGTCTTGCAGACAGACTTATACTCAACCAGCTTCCAAAAAAGCCCAGGACCACCTGCCCAGGAAAATGGTACCTCCCACAATAGGCTGGACCCTCCCACTTAAATCGTAGTCAAGGTAATCCCCACAGACATTCCCATAGGCCAGTCCCTCAGGTGAGACCCTTCTAGGCTGTGTCACTTTGACTGTTAAAGCCAACCAGGACAAGACTAGTACACATCTGCTAGTTTCTGTGTGTAAATGTAAGAAGGTCCAGATGCCCAGACTCCTGAAATATCGAGAAAAGTAGTTGAAGATAGAAACAGACCACTCAGATGCTTTGCAGCTGCCAGGCCCGTGCATGCTAGGAGCTGTAACAAAAGTAAAAGGGGCTTCTGCAAAAAGCACTTGCTGGCCATCTCTACTGGTATTCCAAATACCATCTTCAGAGGGTTAATAAAATTATTAAGGATCTTGGGAAGAACATTGGAGATTATTTTTCAAAGTGATTCAAGCAATATATGTGTGTGTGTGTGTGTATACATACATACAATCCCAAACTGGCCATGGTAGTACACATCTTTAATTCCAGCACTTGGGAGGCAGAGGCAGGCGGATCTCTGTGAGTTCGAGGCCAGCCTGGTCTACAGAGTGAGTTCCAGGACAGCATCCAAAGCATCCAATACAGAGAAATCCTGTCTCGAAAAACAAAACAAAAAAAAAAAAAGCCCAGTTCGTGCCTGGGCTTCTCTGTCGTTCTCATCAGCTGGCAATCAAATGAATACTTGCTTTTCTTCTGGTTTCCCCGCCGTTTATGACTATTTGAAGTTTTAGTCCCAGGAACTCTGTCCCAGTAGAGAACTTAGTACCTTGGTTATGGTGGAGAATTCCAGGTGTTTTTTTCTTAGTTGCCAGAGCTTCATAGGTAACCCAGTGTACCATGGAGCACAGCTGGGCCCTGCTAAGTCTCAGAGAAGCCAACACTTTGTGTTGCGTCCCGTGGGGTTACAGGTTCTCTCCTTGCCAGTGCAGAAGCCACCGTGGGAGAGAAGACCTCACCCTGCAGATGACAACTCTTACTTCGTCTGAATTCGCACCTGTACGAGAGACATCCCATAAGTTCTCAGTGTGTGCTTGCCTTGGCTCTGAGCATTTGAAGGCATTGTGCGTCTGTGCTGCAGAGACAACAACTTGTTTTCTTTCAAATCCACTTTGTGTCCAAAATGAAAAGGGCGGGGGAGAGAGAGAGAGGCGGGGTACAGTTGTTCATTCACCCATGAAGCGGGGTGTGTTAGATGAGGAGCCTTGGAAACATTGCTGTCTCTATTTTTTCCCCATCCAGCTGTTTCTGCTTTGCTGTGATTTTCTC